AAGAAATATAACAGAACAATCAGAAATCGAAACAGAAAATATTCATATTTTTCATGTTTATCATAGGGTTTCCTACAAGAACCTATGGAGCACTCTAAATCATATCAAAACATATTTATTCTCAAAATTAATCACATATTTACACATTACATTCAACAAGGAATACAATAGAGCAATCAGAAAGAAAAATAGAAAATATTCATATTTTGTCTATTTCTTATAGTGTTCTCTCAAGAACCCTCAGAGATCTCAAATACAATTATTTACATATAAGAAGAACAATAGAAGAAACATATATAGTTGAGAAAAACTCTTCATACATGAGCATACAACAAACATAGGATTGAGGGCCAATTTCACTACCCAACATATATTCCCACACCCAAAGCGAGGTTTCTCACTCCCCCTTTACCTCGACAAGTAGGAGCTAAAACTAAAACCGGATCTTGTTGCTCTCTTCTTCTAGGTTCCCCTTGGTTTTTAAAGAGTGTAAAAGAAAAGAGATCAGAAGTGAAGAAAATGTGTTTTTGGAGTGCTAGAATGTTCTATTTATAGGCATCAAATGTGGCCAGAACGGCCCATTTCAAATATGGAACGACCCATTTTGGACTCATGCGTCATATGTAAATTTCACGTCCACAGCCTGTTCCAAAACTAGAACGTCCCGTTCTGAAATTACATATTACCTATAACAGGCATGTTTGGAACGACTCTTTTGAAACGGCCCGTTTTGGAATCACGTATTACTCATAAAATCATGTGTTGGAACGGCCCGTTCCAGTCTATGAATTAAAGACCATTTTAGTAGTTTGGAACGACCCGTTCTGGCTATTAAAAAATCAAAATATTACAAAAATAATTTTCATAAATATTTATTATTAAAATACTCATAAATATTAAAAAATATTTAAAACATTCTATAAAACCCATTAAAATATCTATAAGAAAATAACCTCCATAAATATAAAAATAAACAATAACTAACTATTATACTAGTAAAAAATTCGGGATGTTACATAGGAACCCATAGATTCATAATTATATAAAATTCATAGAACTAACATATCACTACTTGCATATCTCATATTCAGAACATAACAATTACATAACAGATTCATGCTAGATTTGGGTTTAATCCATCACCTTCATCCATACAAACAACTTAGGGATTGGGGACTAATCCCATTACCCAATAGTTATCCCACACCTTGAAACGAGATTCTCACTCTCCCTTACCTTGATTGATGCTAACTTTAGGGTTTTGGTTGTTGATCTCCTCTTTGGCTACCTCTGATTCACCTCCCTTTTCAGATCACAAAGTGTAGGGTTATATTAAAAGTGAGGCAGAACTAGAGTAACTAACATATTTAAACAAAATCCTAACCCTCACTACATGTGTAACCTGTCAGTAAAAGCTCAAATAATTAACCTCAGATGTTTGAATTTAAAAAGAGAATTAACAATTATAATCTTATCAAATCACTCTAAATATTTTATTCTCCAATAATTAATTAAAATCTTTATTAATAATTTCAAAAAAAAATATAGGATGTTACAAATTCTACCCTATGCATCCCAAATCAAAGAAACAAAAATTGTGATTAAATAATAGAATGAGATCCTTTGGTTACCATTTTTTTCCTTCCTCTCATCTTTAATTTTACAAACCAAATAATGAAACATTTTTTTATCCACTTCATCCCTTCCAACCCACTCTCTGCCATCAATATAAACAAAGTCTTAGTCAAGTAATACATGTCATTTTAGTAAATAATAAAATAATATTTTAATCAAACAATACATATCATTTAAGTGAGTAATAAAATAATCTTTTAATCAAACAATGCATGTCATTTTAGTAAGAATATACTATATAGCATAAATAAATACATAGTGCACAAAACAACACATTTCCATGAGTAATTTCAAAGAGATAAGTTGAAGAAAATACAATAACTAAAAGTTGAAGATTAATCATAAATGAAACAAAAGAGCTTTTGTTGCTTCAACTTCAGCGTCTTCTTTTTCTTTTTTTTTTTCCAAGTGAAAGTGGTTTTGTTTTGAAATAACTTAAATTTGAGTAAACTTAGTTTGACTAAATGGCCATGGTTTATGGTGATTCTATAAAAATATATATATATATATATATATTAAGCATAAATTTTATAAAAAAAATATGTTTAAATACAAGTTTAGAAAATAATTTTTATAAGTTTATTTATTAAAAGTAAAATTATTTTATCAAAATAAAAAAATTAAAAATATTTTTAAACTTATATTCAAACAGACCGTAACTTATTTAGAATCCAGATGATTTATCTTACATAATGAGGCATGGTGGGACCTTCAAGCCAAATTCCTTTATTTGTAGTGTCGATTATTAATGAGTTGTATTCATAATTTCATCTTCAGCACATATACAAATCTTGGGTCATTGGGAAGAATGTTAACAAGGCATGGGGTTATTGGACTTTATAGTATTAATTGAGTTAACATACTTTGTTTGCTTATTACATAGTGGGACCCATAACACTAATTTAATTAACTGTATTCTTCACATTCAGTGCAGTCACTAATCAAATTAGTTATAAACTTATTAATGTCGATGCATCTTTTATTTAATAGTATTTTATTGAATAACCAAAAGTACATTAAAAGTGTGTATTAAGAGCTATATTAGTTTTCTCAAACAAAAAGAGGTATATTATTTCTTTTCAATTTTGATGAATAAATATAATAGTTTTGTTTAAGCGTTTTATGTTTGCTAAACTTCCCAAAAAGAGTAAGAAAATAGTTACTTAAAGCTGTTTAATTTTAATTCACTATTGACATAAGATTGATATTTCGATGTATAACGGAAGAAAAATGTCTCATATTTAAGAGTTTAGACTGTATTTTTTATAGAATTAATCACCTATATATTGCCAGTATAAATTTTTTTTACACTAACAGTCAATCAGAACTGTTAATAGTATCTTTTCATCTTTTATTTAATTAAATTAAAATAAAAAAACACTATTAACGACTCTGATTAACTGTCAGTGTAAAAACTTTACACTGACAATGTATAAGTAATTAACTTTTTTTTATATAACATAACCATTCTTAACAGCTTTTTAGTAGAACGTTTTAAAAATAATATTTTAGTTGTGAAAATATAGAATGATACCGACATGTGATAGTTACGTAATACTGCTAATTGACGAATAACAAAATAGTAATATATTTCATATAACACATTTTTTCTAATAAAACTTTATTTAAAATCCTAAAACTGTGTAAGCCAAATGATTGATTATATAATTATACTCATAATTTCGTAAATTTTAATAAATTTTAATAAATTTTGGAATAATAGGAAATATGTTAAAAAGATACATTGAAGAATACATTGATAACATTCCTCAAAACAATATAGAATGGTTTCTGAATTGACTTTTTGAGTTTTTTATTTAAAAAAAAAGTTATGAAAAAGATTATAGAGATGGTAACAAGGATCCAACCCAAATCCTCATGTATCCACTTCAATCTCTTCTTCAACCACTAACCTCACTTTCCCTCCCATCTATTTTGAAAGAAATTATTTTTCTTAAATGGCTTTTGTTTGTTTTTATGAGAATAATGATTTCTTTTAATAATTATGGTTTTTAAATAGTTAAAATAAATTGACATTTTAGTTTCTAAATTTGAATGATGCTATCATATTAGTCTTTAAAATTAAAAAAAAAAAGTAAATAAATTTGTAAAAGTGTAAATTAACATTTACTTTAGTCTAAAACTCAAAAACAAAGTAACTAAAGTACTAATATTAATAAATATTTAGAAACTAAAATGACAATAAATAATTAAATTAAAAATTTTATTTCACTCTATGGAAGTTATTGACAGTTTCTTAATTTTAAAGATAATGTGATAGTGTGTATCACCAAAGTGAATAACTACATATGTTATGCTTTAATTAATAATAAAAAGAATTTGCGATATTTAATATTTAAAAGAAAGATAGGAGGCACTGAGGTACTAACTGGGTTAGATTCCCTCACCCCTTTATACACACACTAATATTTTGACATGTGCAATACATAAATTAAATATGTATTATATATTATTAAAAGTTATAATAAATTTTATATATAAATAAATATTATCTTGAATATATAAATCAATTTAAAATTTACATAAATATATATATTTTTAAACATATAAATTATATTTTAAATTTATATAAATGATTTATATTATAATACAATATTATTTTTATTTATTGATAATTTATTTTGAAAATATTAAAATTTTATTCATAAATAATTATGATAAATAAAAATTGAATTTGATAAGAAATTAAAAAAAAATCAAAACTCGTTAATTTTTTTTTTTAAATAATCTCACGTAAAATAGATGATATATATCATTTGACCAAGAATATAAATAAGTCAACAACTAAATGTTATAATTCGCATGCAAATTTTCCGTACCAAGCAACAGAGTACTTTCATAAAGTTTCTCTAACTGTAAGTATCGTGCTGATTCAAATAAAAGATGCTTAAGCTCGTGTGTACTTTTTCCTCCAATTTTAAAACTCGTGTCACAAAAAAGTAACGTTATAAAGACTTTCTGCCAGAGGTGTTGAAAAATTTTCAACTTATAAACGAAATACATATTTCCATTAAAATAGTATTTAAAGCTTCAAAATTCAATGTTACAAAATTTAACTAAGAGAATTTTGTAAATATAATACTTCTCTTTAGGCGATTTCATGTGGTTAAAAACCCGATACTAACTGTCAAATGATGCTTAAACAAACTAAACTAAAATTGCATTATTTTATGGTTTTGGTAATGTTACATTATTTGCATTGTTTAAAGTCGAGTTAAAGTCAAAGAAGAAAAGCAATCGAAGTTTAGTGTGATAGGATTATTTTTGTGACACTACTAACATTCATAACTGAAAAGTACCACGGTCCAAAAATCAATGTCAACAGAGCCTACAGATGGATGAAATACGACAGTGATGGCGTGCAACATTTGTTTTCTCATATGTTGTCAAAAGACAACTGAAGATCCTGTACACCAATCAATCATTCCTAATACAATTTTTTCATAATGTCAAGCATCTTGCGTGGAGAAATGATCTGTGAGGTAATCAAAGAATCCACCACAGTTAACTACCACTAGGACGTGAAACTATGAAACTGTGGCACCATTTATATCACCTAACAAGCAATTAATCAGCACTGCAACTAGTTGTGCTCACACTACTACCCATACAACAACATATTGTATATTACTTTGGAGCAGCATTCCTTCCGGCCACTAATACACCATGGAAGTTGGAAAACTAGCTACTTCAGAATTTCTCAATTCTCATAGTATATATATCTTCAAATACATCGCCAAAAGGGATGAATGACTAAAATATAGAGCCCTAGTATAGTACTCCTGGTGTCATGTGCTTCCTGGAGCATCACTTCCGGCGGCTGGTTTGCGATTCAGGTAACGAATAACAGCATCTTCAACCCTGCTCATGTTGTCAAATGAGATATAAAATTTCACAATGATGGCAACTGATGTTTATTCATAAAATATCATTGAAGAAAAAACACATAAGGCGGTTAAAATACTCTTTTGATTCCTAAATTTATTTAATTTATTCAATTTGGTCCATTATATTATTAAAAATAGTCTAATTTGGTCTCTTAATTTTTTAAAACAATGCAATGTGAACCTTTCCGTCCAATTGAGACTACCAAAGCATTGCTAAGTATACAAAAGATTAACGGAGTTAGTCTCAATTGGACAAAAAGAACCATATTGCATCATTTTAAAAATTGAAGGGACTAAATTGGACCTTTTAATAATAAAAGGACCAAACTGAATAAATTACATAAATTGAGAGATCAAAAGAGTAATTTAACCTTTACCTAGCACAAGAACAAAAAGGAAAAACATATCGTGCATATTTAGCCACATTGAAATTTTGAAATGAAATCCTCCCACGGCCACGGATAGGTTCAAGTGTATAAATTAACTATTATACAGTTACAGACTCAGTTATATCATGCATCACCCCAATTAAGGCAATATATGGAAGGGAATCGTTAATCAATAAATCATAAAGCTGGATTCTAAAATACTATTCTCAACCCGACAATCATAGCCGAGTTCAACAGATTGTAATGGATTAATTTGCAAATTGCAACTAAAGAATGTAACATGCATTGGATACCAGCAAAACATAAAATATAACAGAATAACACGAGGCCAAAAAACTAAGATAAATCTTAAAGCTTACCAGGGTTGGTTGAAGAAATCAGATCGACGCTCTTTTTCCGCATTACGACTAGGTTCTCCAGCTACGAGTTTCAGATCCCTGCTTTGAGATTCAATCAAAGCATTAATGAATTCTACTGGCGATTGACTAAAACCAAGAAAGAATGCCCGTCTCCTACGGTGCTCATGGATTTTTCTAATGACTCCACATATTGCTTCATCACATGTCTCAATCTCTTTGTTCTTTTCCACATTAGCCAATAAAGCAGACAGCTCCCTCTGAATAGGAAAAGGAACATCAACCATCACATCATAACAAGCAGTCCCAACTGGACTGTTTCCCGAGAGCTTGATTTTGTGCTCCAAAAGTATAGGCTGTGGGGGGAACAAATGCGATGATATTTTCTGCGAAACCATTGTAAACTTCATTTTTTCTTCTCCGAATACTTTCTGAAGTGGCTGATCACAGTGAAAGTAAGAAGGGTCATTTGGGTTTTGCAATTTCCTGGCCTTCACATAGTGCCAGATTGCAGCAACAATTCTCGGACGGGTATCAACCTCAATACCAAGAACTTCTGTCAAAGCTGGTGAAAGCTTAAATTTCTCTGGCACATAATTCATCTCCAGCCGTATATTTACTGAAAATTCTTTATCCCCTTTCCTCTTTACTTCGAAACCTTCTTGTGGAGCAGGTGATCGAGCATTCTCCCACATAATAATGTGATTATCGGGATACAATCTCTGATCCAAAGAAATGGTTACTCTTTTGAAGAAAGCTGAAAACTTTGGATACAAAGGAGATGACTTCTGAACTACACCCGGCTGATCAGGATCTACACCATCTTCCAATATCCTCCCAACTATCTTCAGCGTCCAGGTTGGAGGCTCTGCATTTGGCTTCTTTGGAATCGTGCGAATTTGATTAGCGAAAGTGTTAAACACATAGATTCGAAGAGTTTTCTGAATACAAGGCGGATTTTTTAGCGCTTCCTGGATGTCAGCCTTCTTTCTAACAAGTGCCGCATCAACACGAGACTCAAACTCAAGAAGTTGTGTATACAGCGCAGACTCGGGCAGTATAGCAGCCACTTTATCTTGCAGTTGTTTCTCAGGGAGCTTCTGCTTCTTCCTCCGCGAGGCAGGTGTGAGCTCCATTGGTCTCAAGGGCGAGAAGCTGTTGGGAGGGGAAAATCCAACAGGCCGAATGGGCGGTTTCAGAGGGATCCGTTTCCCACTGAGGTTGCCTGGCATCGAAACCGAAGGCGACGACACCCCCAAACTCCCCAAACCACCAGCCTGGCTCTGATTAAGACTCAACCCCTGAGCTTGCAAATGAGCCTGGAGTTGAGCATGAGCAGCCGCAGCTGCTTGGGCATGGGCCTGAGCCTGGGCTTGAGCCTTGGACTGAGCTTGGACAATAGCATGGGCTTGGGACAGTGGAAACTGCCCTTGAAAACCAACAGGAATCTGGGCCTGGGCTTGGGACTGTGAAAAACCAGGGTTTCCAGGTATAGAATTGGAGGGTATTCCGGCATTGCCAAAGGATGAGGAAGAGGCTCCAATGCCCTTAGAAGGGTTATTATTGTTCACAGACATCACTATCCAAAATCTAATCCACTAGTCAACCAGAAAGGGGCAAAATAAAAACAAAAACAAAAACAAAAACCTCAATACCCAAATGAAAAGATCCCAACTTTAACTCCTGATATAAACCAGTGAACCAAGTAGCGGCATACCCAACAATTCAAGTGCCCAAATTCTCAACTCTCGCTTATGTCACCACCAACTCCGAAATTGCATTGCCCCAAAAATTAAAAATGAAAACGAAAATGAAAAACCACTGAATCGAGTAGGGTTTACCTCGATCTGGCCTTGGAGGGATCCACGGATCTTCGGGTGGGGAGAAGAACACACGATTATCTTCGGCGCATAGGGTTTCGGGGGGAGAGAGAAAGCGAAAGAGGGGTTCGAAGGATCTCAAATTGAAGAGAGAGAGTGGCGAATTGGAGAAAGGGGAAAGGGATGAGAGAAATTGAAGATGGTTCTATAGCGGAAGGAGGACGACGATGGCGGTGATGTGAGGCTAGGGTTTGGAAAAAGGCCCAATTTGGGAGGTCAAAGATGAGTCAGTGAATGCGTTCACTTCTAATGCTTTCCAGCCAAACGGTGTCGTTCGTGTGGAATCATTTTTTTAATCGCAAAAGGGAAAGGCACCGTGCAGAATCATTATATATTTCTGTAAATTGTAATTTTAGTGCTTTATTTTTTTTAGTAATTCGAATTTTTCATCTTTTATTTTAGAATAGAAATTTCATTTTTTTTATTTTAAAAATATATAATTTTGATCTTTGAGTTAAATTGACATCTATTATTCATTAAATTTTAAGGTTTATCTATATTTATGTGATGTGACATTTAATAACATATTTTTAATAGTATTTAAAAATTAAAAAATACAAACAAATTTTTATTAATAAAATAATATAAGTTAAATTACACTTTTTGGTTTCTCTATTTTTATCGATGTACAATTTTGATCTTTTATTTTAAAATAGAGACATTTAATTCTCTTTTTTTTTTTTAAATACTAAATTTTAGTTTTATTGTCAATTTTATGTTTGTTCGATCCTTAAATTTTAACATTCTATTACCACTTAAGTGATGTGATATATAAGTATAAAAATTAAAAAATACCATATAAAAGATTTTTGTTTAGACCTATCTTTATGAGTGATCGATATACTTAAAGCAACACACTTAATTAAAGTTAGATTTAGTCTAGTTTTAGACATTAAATATTAATTATAGTGTTAGCATTAAAACTATTCTTTTAGTGAGTTGAATCTCTAATTAGTTTAATCATCTTTTTAATAAATTTACTTTAAGTGTTAATTAAGTTATATAAACATTAATTATGTCCTAAATACTCTTAATTTACTTTTAAATTTACTTTACAAAGTTCTTAAAATTTACTGGTTTGTCATTAATGAGTTGACTAAGTCCTTTTCTTTGACCCTTGTTGACTTTTTGATTCTAATTTTGACCTTATTTCTATACTACTAAATAAACCAAATTAGGAATTAGTCAATGTTTTTTTTTTCATAATTAAGTTAATCCTTGTTTATAATAACTGGTCCTAATTAAGTGTTTGTTAGGGAACCCATTTTGGAGCATCACAACACAATATCCTTACAATGGGATATACAACTTTTAAACAATCTTTCCTCTAGTCTTAAGTTGATCGACATAACTTTTAACATTATGCCTTAAGCATTATCAATATAACACCCCAAGTTTTCTAAGTTTATTAAAAGGATATTTTGATTAATTAAAGGATTTTATAAGATATTTTAGAGGCTTTTAATAATTATGAGTATTTGTTAAGTCAAAAGACGATCTTGGATTCCTCAAGTTTTAATGATAACAAATGAAAGATTTTCTTTTTAAGTAAGGTTAAATATCTACAAAGATATATTATATCAGACAAAATATGGAAAATATATATCATCTGTAAGATGAAGAAAATCAGACAAAACATACTATTTGTCTCTATGCATTAAACATATACTTTCAAATAAGACTAACATTTAGTTTCATTAAGTGTTTTATTCCTTAACAAATCGAACAAGAAAGAAGCTTTAGAATTCTCAAAATCTATTAAAGAAAGAAAAGAAAAAATATCCATTAGAAGTAAAAAGCAAAATCCCAGATATCACGAAAAAAGCTTTGCAAAAGACTGTTTTATGTTGACTTCAACTACTCTACGTTGACATTGCTTCTACCATACTCATTTTACAAGGAAATGATGATAAGTAGCCTACTAAATTAGATAAGAGATACACACTTTGCTGAAAGGCATTTAATGCTCGCATTAAATGGATCAACGATAATCTTTAGAATTAGCAAATAAGACACAGACAAAGTAACTCGTGAAGCAAATTGTGAGTTCAACTTAAAATTGTTGCAACGGTTATCTTCTCTAAAGCTACTATAAAATGATCAAGCCTCCAAACAATGAAAAACATAGATAAGTGACACATATAGAACAAAAGAGATAGAAGTGATACACATCGAGAAATTTGCATAGAGAATCATACAAAAATGTATAGAGTATAAAAACTACAAAGAAACATTTCATTGTAAATCTTGTACATATTTCTTTGTAGATTACTTGTGCTTTCATTGTTGATTACATCATGTCTAGAAGAGACAATAATTTTGTAATCATCCATTACCTTTATTGTAAGGGTTGAGCCTAGAAAGGCTTGTATAAAAGAATACTTAGTATTGAGCCTGAAGAGGCTTGGTTGCAAGAATACTTAGTGTTAAGCCTAGTGAGGCTTGGTTGAAAGAATATTTGGTGCTAAGCCTAAAGAGGCTTGTTGTTCAAAGAATACTTGGGTAGTTGCTTGAAGAGGCAAGTTAAAGACTACTTAGGATTGATCAGAAGTGGTTTGGTAAAAGAATACTTGTAACTTTGTAAATGTTAGTGGAACTCAATCTAGTTGGATTGAGAACTGGATGTAGTCTTGGTGGTTGAGACAAACTAATATAAAAATCTCTTGTACTTTATCTGACTTTTCTCTAGTGCTCCGTCTAATAAGTTGTTTTATTTTCATTGCACGAACGTGTGAGTTTTTTATATACATTATCTAACCCTTCCTTCTAATGTGTGTTTTTTCTCCATAGTATTTTAATTAAATAATAAATTTTTTGCAAAAATCATTTTGTATAATATTTATTAGAGAAATATGTATTTTATGATATTTTGTTACAATAAGTATTTTGAAAAAAGTAAGTGTTTTTATTATAATTATTTATATATTTTATTTTAATATAAATGTGTTGGGAGAAATATACTTATTTTATATATTATATATTTGTTAATTATTAATTATTATATTTTGTTATAATTATTTGGGTTGGAAGAAATAAGTTTATTTGATATATTATTTATTTATTTATTAGTTTTAATATTTTAGAGAAAGGAAAAGATAAATATGATTAAAGTATTTTTATTGACGGGTTAAGTGTGGGTTAAGTTTTTAAAAAGGGGATTACCACAATTCTTTTATTTACATTTCTCATTTTCCATATTATGCATGTGCTCTAAAGAATGGGATAGAGAACCATAGATCGTAAGAGAACACCCAGAGATCCACGTCCTTCATCGAGGTAAGGGAGAGTGAGTAGTCTCGCTCTAGGTGTGGAATGTATATTAGGTAGCGGGATTACCCCCAATCCTTTCTTTGTTTCTTGTATTGTATGAAGGAGGGTTTCCCCAATTGATTTCATTATATATTTTTTTATTTTCCATATGGTTCCTTATTGTTCTTTTGATGTTGTATAGTTGTATATGTCTCCAATTTCGTGATTAAACATGCAATTGTGAAGTTTGGATTGCCTGTGGATTCACGTGGGAACCCTAAATGGGTATTATGTGAATAGTTAATAGGGTTATGCAATTAGAGTGTGAAATTGAAGTTCTATTTGAGTAAATGATGGTATAATAGAGTATTATTAGGCTTTAATATATGTTTTTATCGATTGGATTAGGAGAAAAGAGTTTGGGTGTGAGTTGTGCCTTGTTCTGAAAATTTTGGTATGAATATACTTTGGTATTTATGTGACTTCTATGTGTGTGATTAATAAAATTGAGTTTTGATTGTTGGGTTAGAAAAGGGGCTACATTTTAGACTCAAGAGTCACATAAAAATGTTAAGGAATGATCGAGTTATGTGAGTTAAAAGATAAACCTTATATTCTATGCGCGAAATGTAACATGCGTATGTTGTAAGCCTTTCAAGTAGACACTACAAGAAAAATGTAAATTTCCGATGGAGTGATGACTCGGGGTTGCGATTTGTTTAGATGATCCCCCTGAGCCACCTTTCGGGTTTCAACTCAGGTTGCTGCTTTAACGTCCTAACTTTTTCCTAAGTTACTTGAGATGTGTTTCCTAGCGGACATTTTTCTTTTGATCTTTTCTTTTGCCTAGGTTACCCAATTTTGCTTATGGATTTTCTAGCAGATCTTGCCCTAACTTTTGTGCAGCCCCCTTAGTGGGTTTCTTGCCAGACCTTCATTTTTTGTAGTGCTCGTGGGGTATGGGATGTCTTTATTTTTATTAAACCCTAGTCATGTTTGAATTCCTGATTGTTCCTTTGTTATCATTTCCATGATATTATTGAGTAACATCTTTGTCGCAAATACGTCTTGTTTATTAAGGGTTAATGGATGAGGCCTAGAGTGAATATTTACAGGGAGAAGAGAAATGAAAGAATGTTATGGCATTTTAAAACAATACTTCCAATTTACACGTGCCCCTTTAGCAAAGCTCGGAGGCCTGGGCATGCCCTGAGTTCGTGATTCGTACACAGAGAGATTAACCAAGGTTGCCCCCTAGAGAGGCATGGTTGACGATTGGTTGAACTACGTTAGGAACGCATTCCCACTTGCTTGAATGTGGGTGTTTCGACTTTGGAGTGAAACCTTTATGAATTCTTTTTTTCTAAAGGGAATACTCAAGCCGCCTTTCGATTTTCAACTTGAGCATGCATTGCTTTTTTTTACGTATATATGTATATCCCTAACTTTTGCATAGGATGTATCCTATCGGGATTTTGATTCCTTTACCCTAATTTTGCCTAGGACGCCCTTTACGGGTTTTCGTCCTAGCGGGTTTTTGTCATGCAATGCCTTTATTCTTCAATTGGATTTTGTTGTAATTCCCTAGAAGCAAGGATTCATTCATTTTTGATCATTCCTCTTATCCCAACAGTTGTAATTTCCGCATGGGGAACTCTCGGTGCTTGAATCGTCAATTTGGGCATGTTATGCCCCCTAGTCTTCTTGCACAATTACTAGTTTTTAAGTGCTTTCAATTTGATGTATTGAGTTTGCACTTGATTACCAGTGATCTCATTATTTGATTAACACGCACAGGTTAGGTTTCCCTTTTTATTCTTATTTATTATTTACAAGGAAGGCATGTTATCTATATGAAACGTAAAATAGGATGCAAAGACACATGAGAAATTCAATGGATATCATTCTCATTGATTTTTGTTTAGAGAACATTCTTTGCATACTATATGTGCCTTCCATTTCTAATGAATGTATGCTAATGCACTATCCTAGGAGATGCATGATATTTATTTTCTACTTAAATTTTATCATGTTT